ACCTAATCAGACGAGTAAAATTATTTATCACTTAAATAATGATCAAAGTAGAGATGCGTCACTTTTTTTTAACATTTTTGTTACACAAATGGTTTTTGTTTTGTCTCCTGTCTACTTAAGAAGTTCTACTAAGGAGCCATCACCTCCATCCCACCCTACTGCTAAAAACCATATCGTTGGGAGCGAGAATAATACAGCGTCTATTGTCAGGGCCAGTTCTAATGTTAAGCATCCACATGCATACTGCTCAGATGCTCAACAGAGTAGGCACGCGCTAGCTTCAGTTATTAAGAACTCTGTCAGGATCATTGTTTTAGCAAGCTTTACACCATTTTTAAATTTCAATCTTGTTATCTGTAATAAATCCTTTTTTCAATCTACGTGTATGTATTTATAATCAGTTTGTCGATTTTGTACAATGATAACTGTAAGATTTGATTCTTAGATTCAATTGATGACTTATTTTGGAACAAGTCTCTGAAATCTATTTTAAAATCAGTTCTTACACGAGCTTAAACCCTGGTTTTAGAACGAACTTCGAGACCAGAATTAAGACAAGCTTTCAAATGTATTTTAAAACCAATGTTGATACATACGTGGAGATCTATTTAATAACCTGTTGTTATACTTGCTAACATTTTTTAGACCAGTTTCTTACGTATACTCTGTGACCTACTTTAAAACCCGTCACGAGACATACTTTAAGACTTGTTGTGTAACTAGCTTTAAGCCAAAAATTGTAACTGAGTTTGAGTTGAGTGAGAAAAGACAACCGTTAACCACGTCCCAAGCTTGCTGAAAATAAATACTTTTTTTTTTTAACAGTGTCTTTTAAAGGCACTTTGAAGATTATATCCCAAAGTAGTCTGCCTTATCTTTCTGCTCACTATCAATCCTAAGAATTCGCTAATAGTTCTTAAGAATTGGTTATTCAGTATCCTGAAAGTGACTGACAGCGTTTGTTATTAGATTTCCGCGTATTTTTTATTTTTTAATATGCTTATCTCAAGCTTATTTTTGATAATTTATTCAAATGATAAAAACTACTCAAAAAAAAAGAAAAATAGTAAGAATTAAAGGGGTTTTCTAAAAGTTCTTCTAGACTGAAGAATGCCTCTTTACATTTTGCCTCCCCTAGTTTGTAGAAGTAAACGTATTTTAAATCAATTAATATAACATAAGGACATCTATTCGTAATGAATTAAAGTACAACAAAACTAAAGTATAAACGTACGCTTGGAATACAACAAGATTTGTTTAGATTAAATCTGCCCAAAAAGCTCTTAAACAAGTTTCACTGTCGATAAACTTAGTACAATTTTATGTTTATGTAGTACATACACGTTTTAGACACAAAAATAATTAAATTAACAAGCTTTATTCACTCGGGTCTCAGAACTTGAACATAATTTCATAAAATCATGGTGATTAGTATCGCTATAGTTCACTGACCAACATAATATGTTCAAATAGTTTGATAGTAAAACATTACCAATTTTTTTTGGTGTACGTTAAAATGTTATGATATATTTCTTCAAAATATCTTGGAAGCGTATACTGCTACTTGAAAGAGGACTAGACCAGGATGCTAAAAAACTTATTTATTTATAATTTATGAGAATAAAACTGTAACGACTGCAGAGATTAGTTATCAATGCTTGGTTCTAAAAGGTATATTTAAGTACATAAAAATTCGAATGATATTTTTTTATGATATTTTCAGTGATAAGGTTATTCAAAGTACTAATGAAATAACTATAAGCTCCTTTTTTCCTTCATAATCTTTTTTTACCTTGGTAGTTTTTAAGTGCTTGCTGTACCCACGTTACTAAGTATTACATGGGCCATATGCGCATCTATCAAGAGTGATCACAACGATCCCATTCTTTAGAGATTTACCTCATAAGATAATTCATGCCCTTAATAACATATACTAATGGCAAAACTTATTTACGAAAAAAATTTTTTATTGATCATCTTAAAGTAACATCCATTAATTTTTTTTGGTTTGTGTCATTTTTAGGAACATAATGTATCTTACGAGAGTCAATATCATTAATCTATATTAACGCTTCTCCATGACTGTTTTATCCATATTCCAGTGGCAGATTTCTTCTACCGACAACGTGAAGAATTTATGGGGGTGCCGTTTATTTTTACATGTTTCTGTACATTTCTTAATATCTGTTTTAAGCCATACGTTTAAGATCAATTTTAAGATTGGTTTAAAGGTCTATTCTGATTTACGATTCAAGATTTCTGACATCTGCTCTAATGCCTCTTATGTTATTTTGTTTGTACCTTTGAGTTTGTTTTTAAATATACTTTTATTTATTAATTTTTTTAAATCTACTTGACTTATACTTTTTGATCGATTTCTTGGAGGTATTGTTTTATTATTTGATAATTGTATTAATATTTAATTCAGAACCCATTCACAACTACAAAATTTTTTATTGTTTTTGATACTCATCATAGAACTCCTTTGACACACATTTTAATAATATTTTAATAAATTGCCCATACAAATTTTGAGACCTATTTATAGATGTATTTTGAGACTTATTTCTATATCTAAAGTTTTATTTTTAAGTAAAATCAATACATCATAAGTTTTCTTGAACTATATAACTAACTCGCCACAATGAATATACTGTCTATCCTTGCAGGCACAAATATAAGTCTTTTCTATGTTTTCTAATGTCCTCTTTTTAATGCCGCTCAAAGTCCTATTCCTAGCCTTAAACCTAGTAGCAGTTAAAGTCCTTGAGCCCCTACTGGATCCTTTACAGCAGTTATCGATTGGACGATGCACCTAATCAGACGAGTAAAATTATTTATCACTTAAATAATGATCAAAGTAGAGATGCGTCACTTTTTTTTAACATTTTTGTTACACAAATGGTTTTTGTTTTGTCTCCTGTCTACTTAAGAAGTTCTACTAAGGAGCCATCACCTCCATCCCACCCTACTGCTAAAAACCATATCGTTGGGAGCGAGAATAATACAGCGTCTATTGTCAGGGCCAGTTCTAATGTTAAGCATCCACATGCATACTGCTCAGATGCTCAACAGAGTAGGCACGCGCTAGCTTCAGTTATTAAGAACTCTGTCAGGATCATTGTTTTAGCAAGCTTTACACCATTTTTAAATTTCAATCTTGTTATCTGTAATAAATCCTTTTTTCAATCTACGTGTATGTATTTATAATCAGTTTGTCGATTTTGTACAATGATAACTGTAAGATTTGATTCTTAGATTCAATTGATGACTTATTTTGGAACAAGTCTCTGAAATCTATTTTAAAATCAGTTCTTACACGAGCTTAAACCCTGGTTTTAGAACGAACTTCGAGACCAGAATTAAGACAAGCTTTCAAATGTATTTTAAAACCAATGTTGATACATACGTGGAGATCTATTTAATAACCTGTTGTTATACTTGCTAACATTTTTTAGACCAGTTTCTTACGTATACTCTGTGACCTACTTTAAAACCCGTCACGAGACATACTTTAAGACTTGTTGTGTAACTAGCTTTAAGCCAAAAATTGTAACTGAGTTTGAGTTGAGTGAGAAAAGACAACCGTTAACCACGTCCCAAGCTTGCTGAAAATAAATACTTTTTTTTTTTAACAGTGTCTTTTAAAGGCACTTTGAAGATTATATCCCAAAGTAGTCTGCCTTATCTTTCTGCTCACTATCAATCCTAAGAATTCGCTAATAGTTCTTAAGAATTGGTTATTCAGTATCCTGAAAGTGACTGACAGCGTTTGTTATTAGATTTCCGCGTATTTTTTATTTTTTAATATGCTTATCTCAAGCTTATTTTTGATAATTTATTCAAATGATAAAAACTACTCAAAAAAAAAGAAAAATAGTAAGAATTAAAGGGGTTTTCTAAAAGTTCTTCTAGACTGAAGAATGCCTCTTTACATTTTGCCTCCCCTAGTTTGTAGAAGTAAACGTATTTTAAATCAATTAATATAACATAAGGACATCTATTCGTAATGAATTAAAGTACAACAAAACTAAAGTATAAACGTACGCTTGGAATACAACAAGATTTGTTTAGATTAAATCTGCCCAAAAAGCTCTTAAACAAGTTTCACTGTCGATAAACTTAGTACAATTTTATGTTTATGTAGTACATACACGTTTTAGACACAAAAATAATTAAATTAACAAGCTTTATTCACTCGGGTCTCAGAACTTGAACATAATTTCATAAAATCATGGTGATTAGTATCGCTATAGTTCACTGACCAACATAATATGTTCAAATAGTTTGATAGTAAAACATTACCAATTTTTTTTGGTGTACGTTAAAATGTTATGATATATTTCTTCAAAATATCTTGGAAGCGTATACTGCTACTTGAAAGAGGACTAGACCAGGATGCTAAAAAACTTATTTATTTATAATTTATGAGAATAAAGAATATTATCGCCTTAAACCTTCGTTTTAACCTATCATGCTAGACTATAGTCTTTAATTACAATATTTCCTCAGTTTTAAAGAAAAAAAACATTTTATAACACAACTTAGGAATAAAAATACTGATATTTTAGAAATAAAAATGCAAAATGAATCGACACGGTTATCTTGGCTTAGAAATCATGGTAATCCCACTTACCTTGCAGTCCCTGTGATGTAACAAAGGTCTGGATAAGTGTATCTGTTGTTTGCGTATACAAACTTAACGCATAACGAAGACTTTGTAGTTCTGGAGATTTTTCTAAAAAGTTTTTTTTTAATCCATTGCCTCCTGCATGAAAATATGTCTTAATAGTATCTAGAGCCACCTCCAGTACAGCACATTGTTTAGGTGATAAATTTTTCTCCACTTCTTTCGAAATATCCTAAAAAAAAATTTTAATTAATTTTCAAACTTATCTAAGCTATATTTCTAAAAAATACAATACCATTACACCACTTAAGGCATTTTTAACATCCGGTTTTCCAGCCATGTGATTCTTAAACAACCTTGACATGTCTTCTATTTTAGCATTAGCAGCTAAATTTTTTGCATTATCTGTAAGACTTTTAAACATCATCTGTAACAAAAGTTTTTCATGAGTTCTATTTGAGTTTCAGAGCTCTTCTTATAATAAGTTAAAAAGTAGAAATCAATACTTCATAGCTTATAATTTTAAAAGTTGTTTATTTTATATTCAAGCCAAAGTTCCCACGTTTGAGACAATCACTTTTACGTGTTTATTTTGCAGTTAATAAACTTTTTATTTCTAGTAAAAAATCTCACGGGTAAAAGAGAAAAATTCAACTTTAATTGAGCTTAGAACAAAATACAGTCTATTTAAGTTGAAACAGTGTATTCAATTAGCTTTTGATACTATCACAATACCAACTGCATAGATACTGAACAAAAATATTGATTTGAGATAGATTGAATACTAGAGTTTAACAATTGTTTACCACTGTGAGGCAATAGTATTGAAAAGAAAAAAGAATAACAAATATATGACTACTAGTACTAACGTTAGATGCCTCTAAAAACCTTATCTAACTAATTCCCAATAAAGTACGCTGAGAGCAATATACAATCAACAATAACTGATGGTATGAGAGAACGTCATAAGCCACGCTTTTGACTTAAAAATAATAAAAATTAACTTTCAAATAAAAATATATCTTAGATTACAATAATAAATTCAGGTTTACCTAAAAGCAATCTTTTGTAAAAAAAAAAATTATGAGATTGGTACAGATAACATAAATTCCATTTTATGTGATTTTTTCATAAGGTTACAAGTTGAGTTGCAATTTTTCTAATTAAACTTATAAAAAAGCCCTTATTAATTGATCTGCAATTTTTTATCTGTATTTTTTATAATATTTTTAAAATATGTTTGGTGCTTGAATAATACCTGTCAAAAAATATATGTGTCATAAACGTCATGAAGGGACATATACTGGCATGTTATACTACTATAATAAAGAAAGATGTACTACAGTATGGTTTTGCTAAATCTTTTAGATACAAACATACTTCCAGTACTAAATACAAACTAGAAAAATGTATGAAGTTAAAATCAAGCGTATGTAACAGATGTGATCCCGAGGGTGGACTACGTATTATTTATGTTGTATTGTGCTGTTATGTATAGTTTGTAATTTTTCGTTTATTAAACATAAAAATATTAACTTAAACCTTACCCAATTATTTTAGGTATACTTATTTCTACGATAATGACACAAACTTTGTACTTCATATCTTTTTAAAAAAGTAAATTTTTGATAAAAATTTTACTGTCAGCCATATAATTTTATGGCAGTATTACTCTATACTTGGGTACGCAAACATTCACTGTTTACTAGTTTCTTTATTAGCAATCATCGACTTGCCGTGTCTTATCTTATTAATCTACTTATAACGTTAAATAGAAAATGTACAAACATTTTATCCTGTAGAAAAACTACGTGAGATAAATAAAAATACATAATTATCAGTGGTTTTATAGATCACTACTTTGAGTCAGATACCAATAGTTGCTCAAGTTTGAAATAACACTTAAAATTTAGAAATAACCTTTTTTTCTACAAAAGCATGAACAGGAAAGAGAAACATTTTTAACACATTAAAAAGATAAAAACATAATTGGATAATAATATAAGAAGTACATTTTAGTGTTTTCTTGTATCAAACTCTCTTATTTTAAACAACAATCTTGTTATGATAAGAAATATTGGTAAAGTTGAAAAAAAAATAGTAACGTTACAAAACACTAAAAAATATGACCAGAAAATTTGCTTTCATGTATTTTGTTCTTCTGCACTGGTTGATCTGTTACGAAGTTATAACACCACTAGTAATTCCCCCTCTCCCCTCCCGTCTCAGCTTTAGCCGAGACTCACTAATCAGAATACCGTAGCGTATTGATATGTAACGTTTTTCGTTAAAAAATTCACATCTATTGCTGATACTTCTTAGAACTAAAATATTCTTGTAAAAAAAGTATTTGTTTGCGATCTTTACTGCTTATTTGGTTAAATTATAAGCTGTAAAAACCGAGAAAAATATAATTATGCTAAAAAGTACATGGGTCCCTTATACCGTAAAATAATTTCTGGCTCTGAAGGGCTGTTAATTTGCAGTTTCTCCCGTACAATATACGAAAAATGCTATTTTTCAAGCTGTGAAGATTTAAAACTCATAAAAAATGTATAATTAAAAAACTTTTTTTCTAATCTAACAATCTTATTACCAGAGTGACAAGATCCTGGAGCTTGATGTCTACATTTCTTATACCACAAAATTGTAAATACATATTTTTTACAAATCTTGGAGATTTAAGAGTTGACAGTGAAAGTTATAATATGAATCTGATCCTCCACTGAATAAATCCTCTATTTCTCGATGAAATGCTGCTGATTCAATCTCGATCAATATTCTACGTCAGTTTGTGACGCCTAAAATTGTGGATATAAGATGCATTTTGAGTTTTTCTTCTCATTTGCCCTCTTGCGATTCTAGGCATAGTTAAGACTTTTGTGAGCTCTAAAGGCTGTTTTTTATCAACTTTGTTAAGTTCCGATATACTTGTTGGTAAGGTAGTTTAACGTCTGATGGCCCTAAAAAGGACAGGTAAGCTACACTCTTTCTTGATTGAAGTTTCCAGCAAACGTTAGTGCCTCTATACCTTAAAATTATCTCCTCTGGCCTATTGTAGCACTAGACTGATTGAGAGGAAAACTACTATATCTGATGCGTTTGAGCTAACTGCAAAAGTTTTTCCTAACGTCTCTTGGTAGTATGCCAAGGACGTTCGTATTTAAAGCCCTTTTTTTTGCAGACTCAGTTGTTTTGGTGATCTAAGGTGGGGTGATTGGTTGGCGATGCTTGCCCATTAGAGGCTGTCCTGTTTGCTCAAGCTTATTTTTTCTTCATAGCTGTTAGGTTTGACTATTGCAGACTTTGGAGAGAATTGGGGATTATTAGTTAAATGGTTAGAGTTAAGAGGGTAATGTAGGGTTATCGGTGGCTGGTATTCTTAGTCTTATGACGAGCAATCCCGCTAAGGATGTCTGCTAGTGAGTGACTTGTTTCAATAGCAGATAGAGTTACATAATTTTTCAGTCAACGAATTGTTACTGGAAATCGTAGTAAAATTAATTTGTTGGCGAAATGGTTTAACATTAGTTGGCCCATAAAAGAACTAACGAGATTGATAGTAAAGCAGGTAACATAAATACTTACAATAGCCCTCAAACGGACCCGTGGTAAAACTTCCAGCCATTCTGTATTATTATTATTCTTGATGATAGAGAGCTGGCTGCGGGTAGCTTAATTCTTACCCTCAGAGTCTCTGCTTACACAGACTGTGTTGGAGGGAAGTACGCTACTGACTAAAAAATATCTCATCTTCGGGTCGTTCCCGGGATAACTAACCGCTCATCATAAGTCGGGAAAGTTAGCCAAGAGATCACTTTCTCTGCGAGTACGCCACTGGGACGAACCACCTAAAAGAAGGCCGTAGTAGTAACACCATAGGACTATTCTTCCTGGCTTGCTATTTTCAAATTTCCTGCTATAAGCCTTATACACTGTCGGTGATTGACTGCGGTATTTGGTGCATTTTTTAGGCATATAATAACCAGGCTTCCTTAATTCTATTACAGGTAGCTTCGATTTTACTTCCTAGCCACCTAACTGATTCTACAACTCACACGCAGTCAAATGAGGCCACTTCTAGTTCTTAGTCATCCTCTTATTTTAAACGTTTTTTAACAATGTTAAGGATATTCTTATATTTTAACATTAAATCTCCAACTGAAGAAGTTGCCATTAATTCTACTTCATCGAGATGTCAAAATCAAGTGTTAATATATACTTGAAAAAATTGAGAATAAATCACTTATAATTAAATAATTTTTTTCTTCAAGAATATTTGACGTAAATTGGTTGCACATATAACATACGTTCTGACAATAATCTTAAGCTTGCGTAAGTCTTACTTGTATCAAAAGTTATTCTTTTATGAATTTAGTGGTTTTTCTTACATGATATTCATATCGTTAATGCAAGAATGTGTCAACTATCATAAATTTCTATTCTTACAACTAATATTTAATTCTAATACTATGACTACGCTCTTTTTTGTAGTAGTTTGAGCATCCACGTCGAAAGCACAGCTTTAATTTATCTAAGTCCTTACAGCCATGAAATACATTTCCATACCCTAGGCATTTAAAGCACCTTATGAAAGAAAGTCTTTGGTACATACGGCAGAAGACAAATCCAGTTTTGACTTGGCCTACGTATTCCTCTTTCTTGGCAACAATTTTTTCAAGGTTCACTAGTGTCATTCTAAGTCCTTTACCGATTGCTATAAAAAGTTAAGCGTTTGGATCTAAATTTCTGTTTCTAATGACCTTCGAGAATAAATCGTTCACTTTTTTTTTCTTGACGATACTATTCGAATCGCGGACTTGGAAAAATTTGTTTTGCACACTATTCGTTGGCCAACATTTGACATTTCTATATTTTGTGTGATTCTTGCGACATCTTGTACTCATTTGGCTGTCAAAAACAAATCTTCTTTTTAGGTGGCAATAATACTCTGTACAACAGCCTTCCTTTTGTCAGGGCCAAAGAAAAAGCTTTTATAGACTTAAGTACTCCAGCAAAAGCTTGGCCATTGAATACCTACACCAAAACTTACGTCATCGTGTTAAGACTTTTTATAGGGTCTTTTCTACTACTAAAATAGACCTCTTCATGATTGCTATCATTGGTCCCTTTTTTTCTGAGGTTTTGAGTCTTGATCCTTTTCCAGGGCTGTTTGAGGACCCCTATTACTCGTCACTTTGTCCTTCTCCTGCAGAGGAACCTATGGCAATAATACTACTGCAATAACAACAATGAAACTACTACTTTTACTACTATGACTTCTACTACTACTACTACTTCCAGGTGAGGTTTTCGCTAGTTTCTCCATACCGGGTGCTTCCCCTGGTGGCGGATAGGGGCATCCTCTAAAGACATAAGGTGACGATAGGCAGCTGGGGTTGCTCTCTGTGGTAGTAGTCGGGGGCG